ATTCCCAGGAGAGAATGGAGGAGAAAGGTGGTCACCCTAGGGAGCGATTTCTCACTTTCTTTTTCAATGTCTCTCTTCAGTGAGAACACATACCGTATAACAGTTAAAAAATCAAAAATATAACCTTACACTTTACTTCCATTTCCACAAACTTTCTGCAGTCTCTTGTATAAAGAATATCTTTAAATCGGTAGCTATCTAGATATATATAGAAGGAAGAAATAGAACTCAAATCCACATTACCTAAAGAGAGCAAAGAAACATTTTTATAAATATTTTCTAGTAACTGCCAGCACGAAAGATACTCAAATCTTACAAACAATGAAGAAAGAAAGAAGAAAGGAGAGAAAAAAGAAAGATCACATTTACAAAAAGCAGTTTGTCACGTTTTAGAAAATATTACACACTAACTATATGTGAAAGCCTCAGCAGGTTTGGTGAATAGCAACTTGATTTTCAAAAGAAGGTAAATTTTACAATGTACAATGATTATTTTATGGCTTCTTGTAGCCTGTAATAAATGTTTACTGTAAATAATTTACAAGTCGTTCACTTTGTCAAATATCACTCCATGTCAAAAAGGCATTTGATAAATGGTTATTAAATGAACGAATGAATGAATGATAGGTGTGCTAGGCTTTATTTCAGAGGGGATAAATAAAACAGTAACAAGACCATAAAATCCACTTGACACTTTATTGATAATCGTGCTCCTTCTTACCTTACAATAAACATTTCTTTCTAATCTTTCAATGGAGAAGTAGAAATTAGAGTTATTCATGTTTAGTATTTTTAAAGTAAGAATTGCTATGATTGGGAACAGCAGGTGGAGTGGTAGTTAAGGTGCTGGACACTCTCACTTGGCCAACCATGGTTTGAGTCCCAGACCTGGTGGCTTGCTTTCTCACTTTCTCTCTCTCTCTGTCTCTGACTCTCTCTCTGGTCAAATTAAAATAAATGGATGAATAAATAAAATTAGATTTTTTTTAAAAAAAAAGAATCGCTGTGGTTAAAAAACTTAAAAAAAATGACTAGATATAGATGCCAAGCAATAACCATGCCTGTTATTTAATAATGAAAGAAACTCCCATATTCAACTACTACATGAAAATACAGGCTCGAAAATTAAAGCCGGCCATGAAATTCCACAGAGATCCATTGAAAAGTTGAATGCACTTTTCTGTCTCTCCATGAAGTTTGAAAAGGACTGACTTGAAGACTCAGTGCTTAACAAAGCTGTGGAGTAGGGTAGGGAGAAGAAAGCAATGTCATGAGCAGACAGGCAGTCCCAGGACAACGCTTTGGTGTAAGGAGGTCAGTAGGCAGCTGGATGGGACAATGGCACTTCAATAACATTCTCACAATGATTCTTGTGAGACTGTACAGGAACTCACTTTCTTTCTCATAAAAGAATATAATTTGATATATCGTATATCCCTTTTTAATGTCTCTGCTTCCTTCTGTAGTTCTATGCCTAAATTTGTTTCGTTCTCCCTTGTCTACATTCAAAATAAAAATTGCTAGAAATGCTTTGCTGCCCCATGTCCTCACAGTCACAATCCTGCATGTGGTGCGGTCTGGCTCATCACTTATTCATTTCAAAGGTCCTTGGGAGGCAAAAGAAGCAGATTTTCATATACCGATTTTAAGGTTTTATTGCATTCAAACATTTACTAATGTTACATTTGGAAATGTGTATTCGTTAGCTGCTTGTAGTCCTTGGCGGTCTTATTACAAGTGTCATTAAAGCATCATAATATTTGGAGGAATCACTCTGCTTCAAAATATTCAGGTTCATTAATGAACATTATCCATCTGACACATTTGGTAAACACCAGAGCTTCAGAGAACAGCTCATCAGGGATAAGCTTGGCCCTCTAGGCTCACTTGGAGAAGCTCATGAACGCACTACTGTTCACCCTCATTAGACTTGAGATGAAGAATAAAAAGAAAAAGAAAAACTGAAATCTGCCAATATTTGTACTTTAGCATTTAGAGAGTCTAATGTCTTATTCTGTCATCTTTTGTCATGGAGGTTGGTGGACAAAAGGGGAGAAAAACAGCCACATAAGAGTTTTGTTTGTTTCCCTTTGGAATACAGTGGTATTACCTTGAAATTAAAAATTGAAAAATTACAAAACAAGGTTGGAATAAAAAAGCCTTCAAACAAGTTTCTAATTAGTCTCTTGGGTCTGGAAAAAATCAGGGGCACCAATCTGGGCACAAATATTATTGATAAAAAGTCATGGAAAAATATAAAGTGTTTTGCTAAGTGATATTTTCCTTAAAATGGTCATCTATAAAGTAAGAAGCATGGTCCCAAATATAGATACAATCCAAGTATCATAACTCATAGGAATAATCAATGAAACTACATTAAGGCAAAGTTCCCCAAATTAACATGATCCAAAATATGTGCAAATTTGAATATTTCTAATTAAATAGCCTTTGCAGATAGTATAAAATATGTGTTTCTTCATCTCCATGCAAATTTTAGATGAAATAGGATTTAATATAAGGTAATTTTTACACATGCAGAATATGTAACAACAGCTTATGATGTTTATCTGAGAAGGAGAATGTAAAGCCCAATCATCAAATAATAACCTTAATATTATAACTACTCATATTTTATCACTTGAAATTTTTATGTTAATTTTTTATGAATACATGTTGCTACCTTCTTTTTAAAATAATGAAAGCTCTCTAGTAAAATGAGAACTTACAAAGTTTCTAACATTAAAGATACGGGGAGATTCAGGGTAGACTTGGTGATTCAGCGGCAACGTACTGCTCAAGAGAAGCTGGATTCCAAATACAACCGTGGTTCCAGTTTCTGATTGGTCAGTCTGAAACAGGCTGGGAACACACGTGAGTACCCAAGATCTCGTAGGCTGGAGGACGGGAGAAAGGGGACCTTGGCAGGACTAGACCCTGCCTGAGGATAGTGCTGTTAAGCACTCTCTCTTTTCCTCTCTCTTTCCCATGCACATATGCTCTATCATTAATTTTAAAATAATTTTTCAAAAAAGGTATGAGGAGGTTAATCCTCCGGAATCTCCTGATACACCCATACTCTGATAGGGTGTCCACTGGGGCCCTTCAGGTATTTGGTCCAGACTGTAATCTTTTATATTCCCCAGAATTTCTAACTAATATGAAAATGAAGCAACAAACTGGAATCAGCTCTGTGTACAGAGCTTAATTCAAGAGAACGTTGATTCTTATTAGTGCCAATAATTTTCATTTGTCAAATATTAATATTATTTATCTTTTCTCATTTTTAATTTGGGCATTTATAATTAAAAATATGTTAATGGATAGATTAAATATGTTATTGCATTAACTAGAATAATATTTGTTATGACAATTTAACAGTTTTCTAAAAGCTTAAAGGGTGCTACAGTTGATCCTCATTATTCATGGATTCCATATCCACATATCCTAAAATTTATGTATAACCCCAAAATTAATAGTCATAGCACTTTCATGGGTCTTGCATTCATAAACACAGCAATAAAAAGTTTGAGTTACCAGATATACAGGTTCCCAGCTGAGGTGAGCAAGGCAACTGACTTTTTATTTTAGTTCTACTATAACAAATGTTCTGTTTTATTTGTATTTTTTTTTTGGCTTATTTTGTGTCATGTTTTACATGTGATTTTTATTGGCACTGAGAATTGAGCTAAAAACTAAGTGAATGAAAAATTGCTTATGGTAATTTATAACATCGTCAGTTTACAAGTGCACACCTAATTAAAATAGCATTTACGAGATAATTTATTGTTTCAAGAATTCTAATACTAGTCACAAAAAAACTTCTACAA